CGCACTTCAGAAGCCTAGATGCGTGCGAATAGCTATTGCATTTATACCACTCCCAACTTCTTCCTGTGATGGAACAAGTTGTTCTCTCAACACTTGAGGACACCTGCCCGCGGCGTTCAGGGTTTTCCGCGCACTTTAATAACGCCAGATTTATTTTTGTGATCTACCGCTAAATCCTTTATACGGATGGTGTCTACACTCGTACGGACGGTGGGGACAGTCAGTTTTAGTTAACCTGGGTGGCATCCCGCGTAGATCGCTGTACGGAAGGCCCCTGCTGGACTACGCAAGACGGGATACTTCAAGTAGACACACATCTAGTAGACTGCTTAATTCGCAGGGTCCCCACGTCGCTGTCAACTGCTGGCATCCCCACAAATGAAACGGCGAGCATCCGCCTGGGTTTGTCCATCCGAGCCCAAGCGACAGTCGAACACGGTTATCATGGTACAGAAGCTCTGGACCTCTGACGAAGACCAAGAAGGAGACATAAACTAGGCAGCTTAGCGTTAATGCTTGGAGTGATGCAAATGTTTACGGCCTCCCTACGTCCATTCCCCTATAACGCTGGCTTTCTGGCCTTACTCACCGGCAGAAGCGAGCTGCAATAAAGGTTAAGAGTTGAAGTAGGGGTTTCCCAAAGCAGCTGACCCCACTCCCCTGTCCCCAGGAATCCTGGACGTTGAACTCATGGCCTGGGGTTGCCGGGGAGGAGGCAGCCTATTTGGGGTTCCAGCGCACTTGGCTGCAGCTGGCGATGCAAACCAGCCTCACGTGTGAGCACAAGGAAGCTTGAACGAAGCCTCCATATTGCACGATTTACCTCCGAATACACTTGTCGAGCGTTTCCCTTTGCCTGCATGTAAGCTACCACGCCTAAGTGAAGCCTGCATCGCACATTGCAGGCAGACTACGCTACATCCCCCGTTGGGTAGCCGTTACCCGTGGCACTGGTCGCCTGTACAGCGAAGCATTGACTAGCTTATGGAGTTAAACTTTTGGGAATAGGATCGGAGATATGATAAAAATATGGGATTAGTGGTCTTGCAAGCCATGTCCAGCCGCATTTTCAAGGAAGGAGAGTCGGCGACCGTAATGAAAAGGAACACCAAGACGAAATCTATGCCCATCCCTGGTCATTTGAAGCGATGGTAAATTGTATACTGCTAGTGCGGAGCGTAACTGAATACACATGTCAGAATTACACTGAGTACCTGTAGACAAATCACTTCGTCGTCTACATCAACTGGGTGTCGGACTCGGAAGCATGCATGCCTTACTGGCTTGAGCTGGAGGCTGCCCTGGCGAAGATGAGTTGCGCTACTTATAGTTTTAACCTCCGAAAAAAACGAGAAAATAAATAATTGGTGATATGTCTTGCAGTCGATACTCCCGGCAGGCGAGCACTACGTGTGGGCGATGGTCCACGTGTGACCGATGCAACGGCTATGTCTTTCTCCCCTAGTTTTACCGCGTACATCCTTCCCCTAGCCCACATATCCTAACAAAATGTTCCTGAGCTCACTTATATCTGTTAATTCCATCCCACGAACTCACTATCCGGACTCTTTACACCGTTGGGACGAGCGTTGCAGACCTTGCCAGTGGTGATCGTCCCACGCTGATATCCAGTGCATGAAATAGTGTGGACAGTAGGATTGGCGTTTTCATGTTAATCCGGCGCCGTGTAAGAATATCCCAAGTCTATGTCCCGCGGTATTTTTGATAGTATCAAGCTGCAGAGCCTTCCCCGGCCGTCGTCGCATCATGAAGCTTCCTGGTTTTTCAGTTCCATGCGCGGAGCCAGCTAGCTTTGTCTCGGAACTTTCTTCGGCATCTGACACGCATAACATCTGCCTGGCAAATTTTGAAGCAAGATGGTTAACAATAGCTGACGCTGCCAAGGGTGCGCTTCACCGTGTGCTGTCGGACTGCATACGAAGGCTCTATATCGAGGTACACAATGCGGCTTCAGTGTATGGCTACTTCGATTGTGACCGCGCAGTTAAGCCCCAAAGGTATCCCCCTGGAAGACAAAAGTTCTCGGAGAAGCCACAGCCTCGTGAAGAGACGACAGAAACGACGGCAGCTTCAGCAGAACACGTTGGGAGGCACTCCAGTGTGAGACCGGGTGTTGTAGGCTCGTTTGCGCCTCAGCCGGTAGGTCCATGGGGGCTTCTGTGTAGCAAGGTATCGTGGCTTCCGCGTTTCACATGGCTGAAGAGCGCATCCGGCATCTCGTCAGCTGTTGCAGCTGGGGCGGTCACCGTGCTGCTTTCCAGGAGCAGCTGTGCTCAGTTCGTCATTGCTGCGCCGGCGATGTTTGCATTCGCCGTAGTAGCGAGCTGCGTAATCGTGTGGGGACAGCTAGAACTTTCAGTGCGCCGTTCTTCCAAAAGGATCCGCCAGCTTCTCACTGACATGAATCTTCAACACAAGCTTGCAGGAGAGATATTGAGGTGAGCTCGCCATTTGACTGCTCGAAAGCTTAGGTGCTTGCAGCAGACGACTCTCCACTTGCCACTACAGTACGTTTCACATACTTGGGGGGGCCAAATTGAGCCCTCGCCTTCTCTTCCTTAATTGTGCCAGTGGGAATTTGTGTCGGTGTCTTTTTCAGATGGATACAAGAACTTGAAGTCACATTTAAGGCTTTTCCAGGTGCCTTTGCGAAGAAGGGTCAGCGGGCTGCTGATGCTCCCCCATCTGCATCACCATGCAGGGATAGCGGCGGCCAGACCCCTTACGACACTTCAGGGCAGCTTCAGGAAGTCTCGGTCATTGGTCCACCCCACTGCCAAGGCCTTCCTTGTTGCCAAAATGAGGGGAAGGGAGAACAAGAATGGGGGCAATTACGCCCCAATGGCTTACGTTCGAATGTGCCATGCGCGTGGCACTTGAGAATACGGCTTTGCCAGGTACTGGACTGGCAGCAGCGCATTTTTTGTTACTTATACGAAGACGTAGTTAGGCGGGAACCAGGCAGTCAGCTTGCTTGGAAAAGCCAAATTTCTGAAGGACCGTGGAGGCGTGCTGAAATAAACAATTCTGGTAGCTATCAGTTTGATAGCAGCCTTCGGGCCCTAAAAGAAATGACTGCCAAAAGCTGGCTTTTGCAGTCGCGGCTTTTAGGAGGCATCCAGGTAGCGTTGAGGCAAGTTTCGCTCTCGATGGATTCCCGACTCCTGAGGGATAATTTCGCCGTGAAACGGAGAGTCAACAGCAGTGTGAAGGCATTTTCTTCCTCTACC